CACTTACATGTATGCATCCTCAAATAAATCAAATAGACAGAGGCTACAGCATCGGGATCTCAGTCGTCGATGTCATTTCGGTCGCATCTTCGTCCGCCTCTTTCGGTGCTTCCGAATTTCTTGGGCGGGTCCTGGCTAGCATGGCGCCCACAAGGACCGACGCAACACCGACGCAGCCAAAGAGAGCAAAGCCGAGACTGTTGTCCATGCGAGCAGACGCAGTAGCGACCGCATCCGGCAGCTTTGGAACACGCGTCCCCCGCACGGCACCAGTCTTGATCTCAATGTCGGGGTCTCCGCTCAGCATGGCCGGCCTCGACTCAGTGTGCAGGCGTGGATCGGGGCTTTGCTCTCCAGCGAGCACCGCAGTGGACACAAAGAGCAAAAGCAGCAAGCGACGCAACATTTGCACTGCAAGTAATCCACCACGACGCGTCGAATCGGCCGTTGGGATTAGGGGATCAACCGCCGCTCGCACAGCTTCGAATCGGTACCGAGGAGAATGTACTCGCTAACGGTCGCCCCGCGCATCAAGCGAAGACAGCCATGAGGCAACACACGTAGGTAGAACCCATGGCGCTTATTCCACGTAGTCAAAGTCGTCGGCGATGCCCAGCCATTTCTCAACCTAGTGCGCAAGAGAGGTTACTGAGGTCGCATAGCGTGCACAGGACGAGACCTCGGCCGACGAGCACGAATTCTTCTTGATGACCCACGACTTCAAGTTGAACACATTATCTATGGGCATGGTATCCTTGTCTGCCACGTGGAAAACACCGAGCACAAACCTGTCCAGCGGTCGACGCCTTCCTTGGCCACCTTTGCCTTGGCATCTAGTGAAATGGAAGGGTCGGAGCTGACGCCAAGATCGCACAACATATACCTAGCTTCTTCAAGAGGTCCGGGTCGTTCTCTTGGAGCAGCGCAATCTTCTTCTGCATATCGTCGGCTTGGGTTTTGAGCGCGCTGAGCTGGGCGAGCCGCTCTGCCCGGTCGTCCGACTGCGTCTGGAGACTCTGGTGCTTTGCAACCGACGACTGGACGTGCGTGAGCTTGGCGCGGAGGTCGTCGCGCCGCGCCTCGAGGTCTTCAAGCTTGCGCTTGCGCTGCTGCACGGCCTTGCTCGGGAAGGACCAAAAGTAGTTGCCGGCGCCAATCTTGTCCGTGTCCACGAGGTTGTCGTCGACGAGCGCCTGGTTGACGTCCTTGATGGTCTGCAGCACGACGCCGGCCTTGGAGCCAAGCTTCTCGACCTCCTTGAGGTTGAAGACGTCCAGCGACTCGTGGTAGAGCTTGAGGATCCGGTCCCGCTTCTCGTCGAGGGACACGCCCTTCTTGCGCTTGCTCATCCCGTGGATTCCGAATTCCGGACTTTTCCCGGACCTTTCCTCACAGCCAATCACAGCGCGCTATGGCGTTTTCGCGCCACGTGTGGGATCCCATCAAACGACGGCAAAGTGCTGGAGTCGTCTCTAACTCGCCATCACTTCTTCCAACCACCGATACAGCTGTGCTTGTCGATGGATCAGGACCTGGCGCCGAGGTTGTCCAACGGCCGTTGGGAAAGGACCGAGATTTAAGCAAGGGTAGACAAATTCATTGTTCTAAGCGACCAGTTGACATTTGCTGCGCGAAGGCGACGCGTCGGCCGCGGACTGTTTCATCGAAACTCAGTATCCTCGACGTTGCCACCTTGGGTGCCGATGGTACAGTGCGTCGTCGACGGGTTGTCTTCGCGAACTAGATGTATCAGCAACGGCGAGCCAGATCGCGGTGCTTCGAGTCGAGACGACGAGTCTTTGCATCCTGGATTGATGAGTTCGTAGCATCACGCGCAACGATATCTCGGGCGATACCAGACATCGATCCAAACGCGATCCAACGATTGCGCTGCCTTGCCCTGATGTCGACTCTAGATTGGCACCGAGATTCGCTCCGGAAGGCGAGGTTGATGATCCGCCTCCAAGAGTTCGCCTTGCTCGCAGGTCGCGATGCAAGCAACGAAAAGGAACAACAACGTCGCGAATGAAGAATCTACTTGGTAATAATGGGCGTAAACATGGAGAAGGGCTCTTCTTCCTCGTCGGCCACGTCGTGGCGTCCGTTCAAATGCTGCACCTGGCGCGGCGCGACGACGCTCGGGGTCGTTGGCTCGAGAATGATCTCGCTCGCATACGACGTGACCGGCGGCGACACATCGCACTGCATGCGGTGCACTTCGTGCTCGGCGTCCACGGCCGCGACGGCATCGGGCATGGTCGTAGCGTAGCGCTCGCGGAGGCAGTTGCTGCGCGGGTCAAAGGCCAGCGGGATCGACCCCAGCGTACCATCAAACCGGTTCTTGCGAATATCGAGCTTCATCTCGCCCTTGATGCGCTGGAGAATAAGCACGTTGTCGGCCTCCTGCGTCGCCTTGGCCGTGCCAAAGACGGATGAGAGGCTCAAGTCCGTATCGTCTTGCTCCTTGCGCGGGTGTACGACGAGCGTAATGTGCACGTTCTTGGCCGACGCAAATTTGCGAAACTAGCAAAATATCAAGTTATCAACAAAAAAAAGATGCGACAAGTGCGAAACTGAAAAACATACCTTGTCAAGCGCCGCGTCTTGGCGCTCGAATTTGTCGTAGCCGCGGCCTTGGCCCGACATCATAAACTGAATATTGTCGAGGAGAATGTGCTGCACGTCGTACGCGTACACAGCGTACTCCATCGCGTCAAGGACCTCGTCCACGTCCGTGGAGCCAAAAAAGCGCAAAAAATACATGGGGAGCTGCTCGAACGCGTCCGCCGTCTTCTCAAATAGCGGCAAATTGCACGCAAGGGGCTCGCCCGCCATCTGCGTGAGCATCTTGTGCACGAGGCGCGTGTTCTTGATCTCAAACGAGCCCCAGAGCGTACTCACTCCCTGGGCGCACCTACAAAAAGGGACACCTTCAGTCTCATCCTCGCGACGCAACACGATACCAGTCGATCGATAGCTGGCTGAGAAGCGTCGTCTTGCCACAACCGGTGGGGCCCGTGAGCACGGTGACTTCGCCGTTGCGGAACCCCTTCATGTACGAGTTGAGCGCCGGAAGCGTCCGCGACTGCACACCACTGGCACGCAGCGGGTTCAAGAGCTCTTCGAGCACCTACGACAGCATTATTGTCCATACAATATTACAACGAATCAAAGGCCGTACGTCGCGCCGGAGCTGATCAAAGGTTGCAATCTGTGCGTGTGGCTTGCGCTCCGCCTTGTCGATCGCCGATTGGAGGTTCATCTCAGAGAGGAGCGCGTCGTTGGCGTCTTTCGCTTGGGACCGCACAATGTACGTGCGCTGGACGCCGAGCTTGAGCGCAAACTTCTCGACGCTGTCTTGGCCGTGCACGTCGCTGTCCATCCAGAGGTAGATCGTGCTAAAGCGTTCGAGGAGTGGCAACACGGCGGGAGGCAGCGACCGGCATCCGTTTGGGAGAGACACCGCCGGCAGCCCCGTGGCTTGGTGCACGGCCATCGCGTCAAACTCGCCTTCCGTGAGAACGAGCGACGTCGCAGCCGTCGGCACAGTGTTCCACCCAAAGAGCCCCCACGACCCGCCTTTTGGCACAAGCCGCTGCTTGGACTTGTCGTCGATCGCGCGCACCTTGAGGCGTACGACGTTGAAGCGGTTGGCGTCGCCGGCAACCGCGCTCGTGTCGGCTTCGACACCCATGAGCGAGAGGTCCGAGTCGCGGGCCATCCACGGAAACGTCACGCACCACTTGTGCGACTGCGCATCGCCGTCGTAGAAGGGCTGCTCGATCGCGCCGACGCAGACTTTTTTAGCACCTCGGGCGACAAGCCGCGCGTGCTCGTGAGGTAGTCGAGGACGTGCTTGCAGTCGTCGTCGTCGTGCAAATTGCGCTGGAGCGCAATCGACTTGGCGTTATCCAGCACCGAGATGACCTTGGGCTCGTCCTCCGTGTAGCGCGCCGAGTCGGCGTAGCCCATCGCGGCCGGCACGACATCGTTGCCACCGAGCTATGCATTGCGTACATGAGGCATGTGTCATGACGCGAAAATGCACACCTTTTGGCGAAAGGCAAACCAGCTGCCGCTCGCGCCGCACCGGTGGCAGAGGTACACGCCGTTGGTCTTGGCGACGTAGAGCTTGAAGAGGTTGTCTGGCCGGCCCTTTGTCGCATGACAGAACGGGCAGTCGCGCACAATGTAGTGCGTCGGCGTCTCCTTGAGTGCGAGGCCCTTCCGGCGCAAGAAGTCGTCGATGACCGTGTGATCGTCCATCTCGTAGTACTTGGAGACAAAGGTCTTGGCGCTCGGTGCACTCAGGTGGTGCTGAGAAGATGCGCGGAACGGTCCTTGGCCAGCGAGGCGCATGGGCGAGGCCCACTGGAGCAGCCCCGCGCGGAGGAGGCGCGACGTCGAGAGTACGCGGCGCATGCTGCTGCTTGTCTGGAATTCTTTTTTTGACCAATGAAATTGAGGAATTTTGGCCAATCAGAGCGAGGTTGAACTTGAGTTTTGCTTGGCGCTCCCGAGTTGGATCGGAGCGCGACGTGCGACAGACGTACGTACGCGTGAGAGGACGTGGGCAGCCTTTGGGTATAGCATCAACATATCGGTGGCGTCGCCTCTAACGCCAAAGCTCACCTCGCGCGTTGGTCTTTCACACACCTACTAGTAGGCCAAGACAGGTCCAAACGACCAACCGGCGCGGCTGATGCGATGGGATAGGATTCGGTTGCGCGAGCGTGATGGAGAGGATATGTATTCTTATTCAAGGTAGATACGCAGTGATATAGCTACACGAAGCAGACAGTATTCTCAAACAGGTTTTGAGGAAGTTGCTGTGGGTATCTTCGGCGACACTGTGGGCATAGCTGGCGATTTTACACGCGCAACGGAGCCTGCGTTGGGTAGACCGGCTGGGGGGCACGTGTTGGGTATGGTGGCACAGGAGTCTTTGTCGTAGGGCCCGGCGTCATCGTCGTTGGGGCAGGCGTCACCGTAGTGGGCTGAGGAGTCACCGTAGTCGGCTGCGGCGTCACCGTCGTTGGCACGGGTGTCACTGTCGTTGGCACGGACGTTACCATCGTTGGGGTAGGCGTCACCGTTGTTGGCAAGGGTGTCACAGTCGTTGGGGCAGGCGCCACCGTAGTGGTTTGAGGAGTCACCATGGTCGGCTGCGGCGTCACCGTCGTTGGCACGGACGTTACCGTCGTTGGGGCAGGCGTCACCGTAGTCGGTTGAGGGGTCAAAGTAGTAGCTATGGGCGTCGCCGTCGTCGGCTGAGGCGTTACCGTGGTCGCCTGCGGCGTCACCGTTGTAGGAGCCGGCGCCATGGTCGTCGGTTGCGGTGTCGATGTCGGTTGCGGTGTCGATGTCGGTTGGGTAGTTCCAGTCGTTGGCGATGGCGTATTCGTGGTGGGTGCCAACGTCACCGTGGTTGGGGCTGGAACGATCGTTATGGGCGTAGGCGTCGACATCACCGGGGTCGCTGTAGTCGGAGATGGGGGCACTGGGGCCGACGTGGGACCACTCGTTGGCGCACTCGTCATTGGCACTGGAGCTGTCGTCACCAGAGCTGTCGACGGAGGCACCGGCGCTGGACTCGACGTCAACGGAATCGGAGAACTGGTTGACGCACTCGGCGACGGCACAGGAGCCACTGAGGTGGTTGGGCTCGGCGTCGCTGGGCTCACAGACGGCGTCGGACTCGCTGTTGGCGAGATAGGAGATGTCGTCGATGGCTGCGCACTTGGCACGGGCGTCAGCGTGATAGGCGGCAACGTGATGATCCCCGATTCGAACTCGAGCGTCTCGCAGTCTGGCGACTGTACACAACCGTAGACAGCTTGCGGTGTGCCAGCAAGGGTCTCGTTGAGGACGCGACAGATCGAGCCAAACGGAAGACCGGGTTGGGGCGACGGGCAAACACCCGGAGCATCGCCCGAGCACCAACGCGGCTTGTTGGGAGGCGAGATTTGCGCGCAGAACGTGCTGCTGCCCACGACACTGGTCGGGAGCCAGCCTTGGGCCAGCATCTTGTCGTCTGCGCACTCTTCGTACGAAGGAATGCTCACGGAAAAGGTGCAGCTGGTGGGAACGGTCGTTGGCTCGGGCTCGGGCGCGGGTGTGATGGGTGGAAATGTCAGGTTGCCGCTTTCGGGAGTTGCAGTTGGCGTCGACTTCGTGACCGGGACGGGCTGCGTCGTGATGATTCCGCCCTCTGGAGTCGCAGATGGTGTAGGCGTCGAGGCTGGTGTTGGTCCCAATGGCGGGCACGTCACTCGCGGCACGCAGCCGTAAGTGCGATCAGACGCTTGCATGCACATGGAGCCGTACGGGAGGCCTCTTTGAGGTCCAGGGCAGTTGTCGACGTTTGCAGCACACGGGTTCGTCGTTGGACCACAAAACGTCAAACTGTTGACAAAGTTTGGGAACCAGTTTCCCGTACACCCTGCAGTTGGCACAGGAAATCCGGGGCAGACAGTAAATGGCGCCGCTGACGGGCTTGGTGTCGGAGTCGCAAATGATGGAACCGGGCTGCTTGTCGACGGGCTCGGCTGCGGGGTCAAAGGACTCGCTGACGGCAGAGGCGTCGGGAGGCTCGCCGTCGGCTGCGGCGTCACAGAGCTGGACGATGGCTGAGACGTCAAGGGGCTGGCCGTCGGCTGCGGTGTCACGGGGCTGGACGATGGCTGAGGCGTCAAGGGGCTGGACGATGGCTGAGGAGTCATGGGGCTCGCTGACGGCTGCGGTGTCACGGGGCTGGACGATGGCTGAGGCGTCAAGGGCTGGCCGTCGGCTGCGGTGTCACGGGGCTGGACGATGGCTGAGGCGTCAAGGGCTCGCTGACGGCGTGCGGTGTCACGGGGCTGGACGATGGCTGCGGCGTCACGGGACTACGAGTGGTCGGAAGTGGTGTTGCCGAGGTGGTCGGAGTAGGAGCGAACGTCGGTGCTGACGTGCTTGGCTTGGGAGTAATAGGGGTCGGGGTGCTTGTGGCAGGCGTCGATGTCGATGTCGGCGTTGACGTCACGGATGTCGGGGTCGGACTCGTCGGTGCTGGCGTCTGAGTGCACGGGGACATAGAAGTCGTTGGCTGTGGCGTCGTCCAGGTGCACGGGGACACGGAAGGTGTCGGTGACATGGTCACCGTCGTCGGTGTCGGCATCATAGTGGCCGTCGTAGGTGTCGGTGTAGGCATTACAGTGGCCGTCGTAGGTGTCGGTGTCGGTATTGGCATCATCGAAGCTGCTGTTTGCGTCGGCGTTGGCGACGGCATTGCCGTCGATGGCGATGGGGTCGTAGTTGATGGACCCGGAGTCGTCGAGCTGGGTGCAAAGGTCGATTGTGCTGGTCCAGTGGTTTGCCCGGTGGCCAAGGCGACAAGAAACCCCGCAAAGAGCAGCGAACGCTTCACCACGACCATTTTGATGTTGGTCGTCGGCTTCCAAAGTGGAAATGAAGTTGGCGCTCTGGCCTCCTCCAAGGCTTATCTCGTCAAAGATGCTGTGTTCTGGCATCTCGTGAACGACGTCGCCGCATCTCGGCGGAAAGGGCTCCCGAGAGCTAAGTTTAAAGAAACGTTAGCAAGGCCGCTTTCGAAACGAACGCTATGCCATGCATGACCGACGTAGAACAGTCGCACTACAAGAACGATGAACCCTTGAGGCTTATTGGTGAATCCTTGGTTCAAGAATTTGCAACATCCTACTCAGACCAACACGCGTCAAGCCTCTAAGGTAGTACGGGTAGGGGAACGACAATCGACAGGCACACCATCGCACCAAGACCTCATCGTGTGCACAAATGGCGCCCGATGAAGTGGTTGTGTAATCAATGTGTGCTTTCCGTGTGTGTTTCGGTAGACGTGTCTAGGGCTTGGTGCGCGGCGCTGACGATCATCACGAGCGGCACAGAGAACGTCCCTGCTATTCAAATCGCCGACATGCATTTTGAGATCGGTTTTGGCGCGACTGATCCATAGTTTCACACTCCGATGCTCCGCGCGCTCTTCTCGTACGGGTGCCCGGAGGACGTCGCTCCGTTCATCACGGACGACAAGGTTCGAGCTCCCTATTTCTCTTCATGTAGAATCGACGCATTCCATGATTAGCTCGACTTTGTCCTCTCGCGCTGGCTCCAATCGTGGCTCGGCGGCGTGCACATTCGACGCGCCCTTGGCGCTCACATCAAAGTCAACGTGCTCCAGGTCGTCGTGTTCCTCGTGCCACCGGCCCTAGGCGCCGGCCTCAGTGTCGTGGCCCTCGAGCTGCACGTCAAGGCGGTTGTCTTCGGTTTCTCAGTCGTCGCGCTCGTCGTTGTCTTGCAAAGCATCGTGTTTCTGATGCGGCGCAACCACCAAGCGCCGCGGCGTGGTACGCGCAAGAGCATCGACGACACGGACACGCACGTGAACCACAAGATCTTTACGTCGATGCTGCTCGATATGCTCTTCCCGCCCAAGCACCTGCTTGACGAGGCGATTGGGCTTTCGCTCACCTTTTGCATGGCAGGCCTCGTCATGCAGCTCCTCTCGGATCGTGACCTTGGTGCTTATGCCAGCACGTACAGTAACTGCGACATCGTCGAGAACGTGCTTGGCTGGACCGTTTACGCCACGGCGCAATACCCGATGAGCGCAAGGAGCCCCGTCGACGTCAATACGTGGCGCGTGGGTGCGCCTTCTGCACTCGACGACGTCCAGCGCGCTGTTTACGTGACGGGGCTTGCAGGGCTCGACTGGATCTTGAAGACGGCGGTGCCGTCCGCCCTCACGGCCCGCTTGGCCGTGCGCTACTGTCTCTATGCGACACCAGTGCTCTTGAACTTTGGCGTGCTCCCGCCTACGACCGCACTCTTTGAATATATCGTGGAGCAGGCGCTTGGCGTTGGATTCGGCCACGCGCCGTGTGAAGACGTCTACCTACTGATGATGTACGCAGTCGCTTACGCGGGGGCTACGGGACTAGTCGCAGCAAGCGCCTCGGCGCCCCTGGCCGTCTCGCTAGGGCTAGCGTCGGCACTGGGGCGGTGCCTCGCCTCGAGTCGTCTGCGCTCGTGGAAAGAGGTGCTGACACGCGAGATTCTGCTGAAGACGACGTCCAAGGTCGTGCCGTTTTCGCCCGAGCATGAGCGGACCATGGTTTCCGAAGCCGACTTGAAGGGCTCGATGGCCGACGTCCCCGAGCTCTGGCGCCACACGCTCTTGCACAGTGATCGCATGCTTTCTGCACTGCGATATGCCTTGGTCATTGCGCTCTCGGCGGGGGCCGGCGCCGGCTTTGCGAGCCTCTCCGATTCGGATCGCGACCAATGCGGCATCTCTCTTGTACGTTCCAACTGTCTGCGTTGTGCGCTGCTCATGCGGTCCATGTAGCTGGGTCTTTTAATCGGTCTCTGGGTGCTTGTGCAGCTTCGTGTCTTCGTGGAGGCACCGACGTCAGCGCGATGTCGTCGGTGGTTGTGCTACGTCCCTGAAGGCCTACTCCATGTCGTTGGTGGCACCCTCGACCGCCTCCTGCGTGTGGTGCTGCTGCTGCTCCTGGGATGTTTTTTTGCCCGAGACGCGGTGACTGCCACGTGCGCATGGACACCGTGCACTGCCGCCTACAGCTGGATTGCCATGGTCCACGCGTACACGATCTGCCAGCGCCACCCGATCCGCGCGACCTATGTTGTACGTACTCGCTATCGTCGTATAGTGTTGTTGGACTATCGCAAAATTGTGTGCTAGATTGCGCTCGCCGGCGTTGGTACGCTCTGTGCGAATCTCAGCTTTGCCATCGCACTCTTCTTCTCGGCGCTACTCCCGCCGCGCTTTTGGCATGGCCTCGAGCTCCTTCAGTACATGCGCGTCGTGGTTTCCAGTACAGTGTTTGAACCCAAACAACGTTTCGAATACTGGATCCTCGTCACGTTGCTGGCGACGCCGATTTCGCTGCTCTCGCTCCTGGTCGCGATCGTCCTCGTATCGCCACTCTTTCCATTCTGCGGCTCGACCCTCTTTCTTGTGCGCTCTTGCATTTGAATCTGAATCTGAATCTGGAACGATCCCATTTTGCTGTTTAGGCGGGGTTTCCGCGGCCCCGACGCTTCTGGAGCTCGTACGAAACGTGGCACGATGGCGAGGATGGGTGCTATTATGAGCATTTCTTTGACGCGCTTACGCTCGAGCTTCCATTGCTCTTGGGACCGGCGTCCGTCTTGCACCAGCGGTCGCATGAGGGCGGCAACGACGTCTACCTCGTTCGCGTCGACGACTTTCTCGGTCTTCTCGAGGTGCTCGAGCTCAGCACGGACTACTGCGTCGTGCGCTTCAAGGGATTGGAGCTCCAGGAGACGACGAGTTGCCATCATCTCGAAGCGTCCAAGGTACCAAATCCTCCCCGTAGCTCCGCCTGACACTTGAGCTAGCTCGACGATGTCATTGCTGACGCCTTTGACGAAGTGAATGTGAGTGGCGACGACGATGGCGCACTCCACAGATTGCCGTCGCCACGCACGTTTACGGTTCGCATTTGCTATGTCGAACAACGACTGGTTTTGATTTTGGACACGCGTAGCCACTGCTGCGGACCCCGATTCGCATGTACACCATTTCAACGGTGACGTTGACCGATTTCTTGGACGATCCGAAATGCCTCGACCTCATCCACGAAACCTTTTACGTCACCTTGGTCTCGGAGCTGAATCGCGTGACGCATGGGTCTGTGCCGGAGATCTGGCTCTCGTTCCCTGTCTCGATATCGGGCTTGGACTTCGTGCTCAAGGAATTCCCCACGCTCTACTGGGACTACCTGCAAGGCAAAAACAAAAAGCAGCGTCACGTTCCGAATCCGCGCGACATTCTCAAGGTATCTTCTTTCGTTTTAAGCTAGTAGGGTCGTCGACACGACGGCATAGGCCGACGAGATACCAGTGCCGGCGCCATCGCGGGAGCCGCGCCGGTCGTCGCTCAAGCTCGCCGCCGACGCCATTCTCCGTCTCGTGACGCACCTCAAGCCCGTCCGAGCGTCCATCTCGGCGGCGCCAAAAGCGCAGACGTTGGTGAAAGCCCCCGACCAGCGCACGGCGTCGCAAAAGGAGCGTTTGGAAATCGCGTACGGTCTCAACGCCACGGAAGCCGCAAGTGTCGACTACGAGTCGTTGGCAAAACAGCGGCCGACAGTGTGCCACGGGCGTCGGTCTTTTCAGTGGGGCGACATTGAGAGCCACCAGGCGGAGTCGACGCCGTTCGTCAACCCCGGTGTCGCTGTTCGAGCTTCGTTTCTCAAGGACCGGTGGAACAAAGTGACCGAATTCCACCTCCTTGCAGCCTCATGTTTTGCGATTGTCGAAACCCTCGGGTACGATAAATTGGGTTTTTGGTGTGTAAACGATTGGTATATCATGGCATGTGCTAGGTTTGGGGTCCACGAGAAGCGCGGGCCAAACCATACTTTTGACTGTTTTCAGGGCAACTTTCCTCGGTCTCTCGAGAACGATTGGCTCCACACCAACACGACCTTGTACGATGTTGTCGTGCGTGCGTACCGCCTCGCAGTACTCTTGTTTTGATCGCACACCAAATGGTCTACAACAATTCGGATAAATAGGTCAAAATCGGCCTTGACAAGTTTGCGCAAGGCGACAACGATCTGTACGACACGCCAGACGAACTCGAAGCCACGATCCACCACTACCAGTCCAAGTGGCACATTGGACCGCGTCACACCGCCATGTACAACACTGGAAGCGTTAGTCCGCGTGACTGATGATGCTTGATTCTAGGTGGAAGTACTACATCTCAACGAACCGACCCAACCTCTTTGCCCTCACCAAGAATGCCAATGGCCAGTACATGTCGAACGTCTATACGCTTGGCCGGTATGCAAGAATGGAAGTTGTCTCACACCACGCTAACGTGGTCAATGTAGAAAAGACACCACGCTGGTGGCACTGAACCGGGCGGCGTGCGAAGGCACATGGCATGGCCAAGCCCTCGAGCTGCTCTACATGACCAACGACGACGACGAGCGCTTCTCGGTTCGACGACCCACCGACTATTGGACGCTCATCGCGCTGTGGTATTAGATCCAGTCCAATTCGCAGCTACTGCGCAACCTCCTCGTGCAGTCGGCGGACCCCCCCTTGGGCTACCCCGTCTATAGCACGGGCGCCGTCTTTATCAAACTCTAACAGTAAAGCCCGAGCTATGACTTCGCTTCATACGCAGCATGGCTGAAAGCACGGAGAGAGTTAGATATGGGTTGGCGGTTGTTATCAGTGCATCGCGACCGGGGCGAGCGGAAGACCGTACTCGTCGACCATTGGGTTGCGCTGCTCCTTCCGGTCTGTCGCGGTGGTCGGCGCCGCGGGCAAGTCCTGCGCGAGGTATGACGGCGTCGCGTCGACGGGCGCCGCCGCTTCCTCCATCGCCCATTCGTCTTCGAGGCCTTCGAGTTCGGCTTCGAGCTCCGATTCGTCAATGTCTTGGCCAATGCTGTCATGATGATGCTGATAGTGAGCGTGGTGGATGCGGAGAACTTACCCATACGACCGGCCCAAGATATCTTGGATTTCGTTCATGTCTTCGAGGAGGTCGGCCATGTCGTCTTGCGTGTTCTAGGCAGAGTCGCATGCACGCTTCACGACCAAGCAGCCACCTACCTCGAGCTCTTCAAAGTTGAATTTTTTGTGCTCGGCCTTGAGCTGCGCCGTCGCCGTCTTCATGGCCGAGACCGTATCGAGCGAATCCTTGGCCGTCTCGATCGCAAACGTCGCCTGCGTCTCGTGAGTTTGCAGCTGCTCGATTGCGTACATATGCAGTACCTGCTCAATGTTGAACGACTGCGCCGAGAGGCTGTCGCGCTGCTGCTCGTACATCTTCTTGCGCTTGAGCGTCTGTAGTGCGCGCTGCTTGATCGAGGCCAGCGCCGGACCTCGCGCCTTGGTCATCTAGGCGCAGTGCGTGACGCAGCGATCGCCAGCGACTCGCGTATTACCTGCTCCTTGTACTTCTTGAGCTCTTGCTCCAGCTTGTCAATCTACATCGATGGCGATGACGCGAGGGCGCGCCGCCTATGCGTACCTTGGTGTCGAGGTTGTCGACGCGGCCCTCGACGCGGCCATGCACGTCGGCAATGTTGACGGCCGGCGCCTCCGGTTTCTTCTTCCCAAAGATGCGATTCATTTGGCAAACTGACGCGTGAAGGCGAGGTCGACAATTGAATGCAAACGTTTATTCTTTTTCCGATCTTTAATATTTCATACATATAGGCAGGCGACGGTATTGTATTATAGGCGGAGGGCGTGAAAGCATAAAATAACGCCACCAGCGTAGGACAGTACAATCACTCTGCCTACAAATAGCGCGAGGCGAGTGTACGTCGACCCTGTCCAGCGAGTTGAGTGGAAATCGGCAAAGGCTTCCTTTCATGGCCCTGACGTCGCATCCCTACGACCGACCCCCTCTACCTACTGCTGGCCTCAGGGCAATCAAATGACACCTCTATCTCACGAGGTTAAACACATTTTACACCTCTTCACACATATAAAACCAGGATAAACCTATTAACCTTAGTGTAAACCCTAGGAAGAAGAAAGCATCACGACCTCTCCACGATCTCTTCCTACGGATGGATTTTATCATGGAGCCCTAGAGAAATAAGGACTCAGCGATGGACTCAGCATCTCGAACCCGGTCGGCGGGCCAATGGACTTGTACGTCAGGATGTGGAAGATATTTTCACATAACTTGAATACATGTATAAGAAAAAGTGCATGTGTTCACATTCTCGCTTGATCCTTGGGTAATTTTGCAGTGTACTAGTAGGCGGTTTGCACATTTTCAAGGTCGGCAGTTGTCCTCACCGTCAACGATTCTGGACAGTACCCTAACCTAGCCACCTCCCACGTCCAGCTAGCCATGACATGCACGTAAAGTCGATGCCATTAGCTGATGCCATTGGGCAGGATGCTTGTCGCCGTGAAAGGCTCGGTGCCAGTCTCTCTGCCTCGTCAGCGAGTCAGCAGCGTGGCACCGCTCCCATCTTGTTCTTCTTGATCGACAGCCGATGGGTCCCTGTCGCGCACGTCATTCCAAGCGCAACATTCGCTCCCGTCCACTCGTTCCTCTACACGGCAACCGCCGCTCTCCTCCATCGCGATCTCTAGCTCGCATTAAATGTACTCGGAAGCACGCAAGGCTCGCAACCTCGTCCGTTTGCCGTACTACACAAGGAGCCATCTTGGTCTCGTAGCACAGCCAGATCTCTCCCAGCGTCCTCGCCTCCGATTGGTCGGCGCTTTCGATTGGTCGAGTGGTGATATCCAATGGTCTATTTTCGCGGGTTTGTCCCAAAATCCCAGGGCCGGGCTCTTTTTTACATAAGGCCGGCAACGCATACAAACGCCAAGCTATCGTCCATTCGCTGGCATTAAATGCGCCAACGCTCGAGTGGGGGAATCCACGGGCCAGTGATTTCGAGCCGTCGTCAGATTCGCTTCTTCTCCATTACGCAGCAGCATGCCCCCGAAGAACACCCGTGGCCGTCGTGGCGCCTCCAAGGGCGGTAAGGCCGCCAAGAAGGACGAGAAGGCCGAGTCGGTCCCGGTCGAGCGCACGCTGGCCGACAAGCTCGCGGACGACGGCATCATCGCCACCTGCGCCATGAACGCGCGCTCGGTGCATGAGAACTTCAAGGACATCAACGTGCTCGACTTTTCGATCACGTACTTTGGCAAGGTGCTCATGGAGAGCTGCGACATCTCGCTCAACTACGGCCGCCGGTATGCGCTCATCGGCCGCAACGGCTCGGGCAAGTCGACCTTCATGAACGTGCTCGGCGCGCGTGGCATCCCGATCCCGGAATCGATTGATATCTACCACCTCAAGCACGAGATTGAGCCGTCCGACATGACGGCCCTCGAAGCCGTCATCACGGTCGACGAAGAGCGCACCAAGATCCAGACCGAAGTCGACGAGCTCTCGGAGAAGATGCTCGACGAGGGCTTGCCGGACGACCAGGCCGAGAAGATCACGAACCGCCTCACCGACTTGTACGAGCGCTTGGACGAGATGGACGCTGACTCGGCCGAGATCCGCGCCCGCAACATCCTCCGCGGTCTCACGTTCACGGACCAGATGATGCAGAAGAAGACGCGCGAGTTTTCGGGTGGCTGGCGCATGCGTATCGCGCTCGCCCGTGCGCTCTTCATCCAGCCGACGCTCCTCCTCCTCGATGAGCCGACCAACCATCTCGATATGGAGGCCGTCGTGTGGCTCGAGGACTACCTCTCCAAGTGGAAGAAGATTCTGCTTTTGATTTCGCACTCGCAAGAGTTCATGAACGGCGTGTGCACCAACATCATTGAGCTCACGCGCAAGAAGCTCGAGTACTACTCGGGTGACTACGACACGTACATCAAGACCAAGGAAGAGAAGGAAGAGAACCAGATGAAGAAGTACGCCTGGGAGCAGGATCAGATCAAGCACATGAAGGACTACATTGCCCGCTTCGGTCACGGTTCCGCCAAGCTCGCCCGTCAGGCGCAGTCGAAGGAGAAGACGCTCGCCAAGATGGTGCGCGAAGGCCTCACCGAGAAGGTCGTCAAGGAGATGGAGGGCGACTTCAAGTTCCCCAACCCCGAGCGCCTCCCGCCGCCGGTGCTCATGTTCCAGGAGCTTGCCTTTGGCTACCCGGACTGCCCTCTTTTGTACGAGGGTGTTGAGCTCGGTCTCGACATGGACTCGCGTGTCGCCCTTGTCGGTGCCAACGGTTCGGGCAAGACGACGCTTCTCAACCTCATCACGGGCGACCTCACGCCGGTCAAGGGCAACATTCGCCCCCACTCGAAGCTCCGTGTCGCCCGCTTCACGCAGCACTTCGTCGATGTCCTCGACTTGACGAGATCGCCGCTCGAGTACTTCCGCTCGCTCTTCCCGTCCAAGAGCGTCGACGATGTCCGCTCGTACCTCGGCCGCTACGGTATCACGGGCGAAGTCCAGACGCAGATCATGGGCCAGCTCAGTGACGGCCAGAAGTCGCGCGTCGTGTTTGCGTTCATTGCCCAGCAGAACGCGCACATGCTCCTCCTCGATGAACCGACGAACCACTTGGATATGGAGTCGATCGATGCGCTCGCGCGTGCCATCAACGCCTTCGAGGGCGGCATGCTCCTCGTGTCGCACGACATGCGTCTCATCTCGCAGGTCGCCAAGGAAATTTGGCTCGTCGAAGACAAGAAGATCCGCGTCTATGAAGGCGAGATTTCCGACTTCAAGATGCGCGTCCGCAAGCAGCTCAAGCTCGACTAAATACTTTGTTCCTCCTTTTTCTGAAATTAATAGACAACTCTACTCGCTACGTCGTCTGTCTTCTCACGCCTCCTCTTGGTTGTTGTTGTCTTCGGCCAGCATCGGCGCTGGCGCCTCGTCGCTCGCCGACGCGATCACCGTGAGCTCTTGG